CTCTGTCTCTGGTGAATCCTCTCACCCTCCGCATCTCTGGCCTGTACCCCAGTTCTGTATGCATAAATAAATAAATATTTTTAAAAGTCATCTAAGATTTTCTATTTTGCAGGAGGAGATTTAGGACAGTGTTTCACTTTGGACTTCGTTAAATTAAACACACTTGGCAAATTACCAAGGGGTGTCACCAAAAGCACAGCAATGGGGTTCACACGCTCAAAAGTGGAGAAAACAAGACATGCAGCGACTCTGGTGAGGACTCCAGGAACTCCTTTCCTGTTTTCACAGGTTGCAGGAAGTGGCGAGGGCCTTGGCTCCACCCAGAGGTTGCGGCTGCCAGCACCTTCGGCCGAACCCCGAAGACGGCAGGGTTGGGCCTCTCCGCCATCCTCACACACCTGTTGTTGGGGCTGAAGATGAAGAACGCACTGGCTTCCGGCATGGGCACCGCCTTTTCCTTCAGGTGCAGCTCGGAGAGTGGGCGGGGCCGGGGCCCCACCGGCATCTCGGGCTCCTCTTCATCCTCTTCTCCTGCAAGGCAAGAGGGCACCATGCTGCAGACCCCGCCCCGCACTGCCGTTCATGGCGCTTCCTGCTTCGGGCACCTCCCAGCCAACAGAATCAACACGGCTCCTGTATCCCTAAGACCATCGGCACCAGCCAGGACAGACCCAGGGGCACCCGTGGGCACCGCGGGAGCTCCTCCCTATCTTGGGAGCTCAGGAGGAGGAAGCTGTGAGCTGGGTGAACAACTCGGCCTGGCGTGCCAAGGCAGGACTGTCTTGGCTTCTCAAAACGAAATCCTCACACCCCAGGGCACCCCCAGTCTGGGTGAGCTGGGGCGGCTCGTCATCCCGGGGGAGGCACTAGAAAAGGGAACTGGGGGAGACTGGGGCGTTGCCAGGGGTCACTCCTTCGTGGGTGGCTTTGGGGCCTGGGCTTGCGGAGCTCCTGTGTGGGTTCCTTCACCAGCAGCCACCGCCTCGAAAGTCCTAAGAATTTAAAGTCAACGCTCTCCCCCTTCCTGGAGCCGCCGGCTCGGCTCTTCGCCCGAATCTCCGGACACCAGGACGCTGACACCAATAAAGGAGCCGCTTTGCTCTCCTGACAGGGGTGGATAAAAGCCAACAGCGTTTGCTTATGAGCTCCCTGCCCGTGGCAGGAGACCACTGCCTGTCTTGTTGGGGTGAAATGCCTTTAGAAATGTTCATCCGGTCTGGCTCTGCTTCCCAGGGCTCTGGGCGTTTTGTACAGTCCTTCTGCGCCTCACTTTCCCTCTCTGTAAGACAGGCTGTAGAACCTGGCCCGAAGCAGGACCCGGCACACAGCAAGGGCCATGGAGGCGTCGGCTGTTCCATCACCGTCAGCCTGTGGGTGCTCAGCACCTGACCTTTGCCTGTGGTCATTCCCTGGCAAACTTTCCTCTCCCATCAAGCTCTGTTTGCTCACTCACCGTCATGGGCTGACCAGCATCCCCCCCAAGGCATGCCCACCTAGAACCTTACGGTGTGATCTTATTTTGGAAACAGGGTCTTTACAGCTGCAATTGGTTTTGAGGAAGTGTCGTTCTGGGCTTTGGTGGGCAACTGTACTTCTAGGAGAGACACAGAGACACACAGGAGAGAAGACCGAGGCCACAGAGGCAGAGAGACTGGGGAGATGCAGGGACAAGCCAAGGACACCCCGGGCTGTGTACAGCCACCAAAAAGGGGGCTGTTGCTCTGGAGGCTGCAGAGGAGGCCTGGCCTGCCAACGCCTTGGCCTGAGAATTTGAAGCTGCAGCGCCGCGAGGGAAATACATTCCTGTTTGCAACCACCAAGTTCATGGCTGTGGCAGCCCCGAGAAACAGCCACAGTTCCCAGCACCAGCGGGTGCTGTCCCCTTCACGCTCTCTCTCTATTCACCCTGCCCTCCACCTTCCTCTCTGCAGAACGGGGAGGGGGGGCGACTCCCACAGGCAGCGCCCTTCATGGGCTCTGGTGAATTCCGGTTCCGGTTCGGGTATGGCCTGCAGTGAGTTCCAGCAGCGCCTCTCATGTGGGGAGTGAGACCTAGGTGCCCGATTTGAAGTGTACCTGCTTCTTTTCTCCCCCACCCCCCAGCCTGAGAAGCCAGCGTGTTCCACAGCAGCCCTTATTTCCTGATGAAATGAAGCTGCCTCCTCGCCACAGCTTTGTAAGGAAAGGGGCATCTGCTAAAGAAGGCCAGGAGCAGAGGAAGCCGGCTGAGGAAAGAGAGCCAGGGAGCCCCTCCTAGGAGCCAGTCACCCCTCTGTACTCTCTCCTGCTTAAAAGGAAGCAGAGAAGGAAAACAAACAAACAAACAAAAAAAGGGACCTGGCTTAGCAGGTGGTTATCAAGCAAGAAGCATTTGGGAGCCCAAGGTGCTGTTGGAGGACCAGCAGAATAAAGGCACAAATCAGATTCTTTCCTCACAGTAATTAGAGCCGACTAGCAAAGCAATTAGGATTTTTAGCCGAAGAGAGACACAGGTGGAAGGCGCGGGGCAAGGGTTGAAGCCACTTAATTAACCACACCGTGGTCCAGAAAAGAAAAGGTGACGCCTTCCCCTTAAAACAGAATAAACAAAACCAGAGTTGGCCTAAATCATGATATTTACAAGTGAAATACAGGTGAGGAGCATCTTAAATTCCTGCTTCCTTGTTTGCATGGCGCTGTTTGCTCTGAGTGACCCAGGACTTTCTTTTCCTGCTAACAAGTAAAATGCTTCTTTTAATCTTTTATGATGACAGAAAACTGCCTGGGCTGGCTTTATGCTTGTCTGAGTTCCGAGGGAAGACTCGCATGCTGTCCCTTCTGCAAGAACCTGCCTCGCTCTTAATGAAGTTCGCCATCAGTTTGCAGTCCCGGGGAGAAGCAAGCCCGCGTCCGTTCAGACACCCCCCAGCTGAGTTCAGGAGTAATATTTTAGAGGGAACAAGTTTTGAAGACAAGCCCGAATTTGTAAAGAGAGAGAAACCTGACAGCAGGTGCATGTTGCATGGATTATGTATAAGGAGAGAGGCTGACAGATGAGAAGTCAGGTAAAATACCTTTTGGGGGGTTAGCAGCTGAACCACCAGACTCTCAGGCCCACCCTCTCCCCTGCCCCCCGCCAGTGGGACGCTGGGGGGATCATTACTAGCTCATCTCTGCTCTTGGATGGTGCAGTGTGGTAAGTGAGGCATTGCTGCACGTGGAGTTGGGGGTGTCCAGATCGATGGTTCCAGTATTCAAAAGAAACCCCCCCCACGCGGCTGCGAGCCCCCCTTGTGACACTGGCCATCCCTGCACCCCTGCATTACTTGCACCTCCTCTGGGATTCTACCCCCACCCATGGGAGGAAGACACTGTTTTTAACGTCCAGAGCATTGAGCACAAAGCACCAGTTCTTGCCCTGGAGGGGCTTCAGTGCATGGAGTGTGGGGGTGCGGGGAGGGGCAGAGTTTTCTAGCAGCTGGAGGCAATGCCAGACTGGTAAGTGCCAAACACCCAGCGTGGAGCTGTGTGGGGCGAGTCTTGTGAGAAGGCCCTCAGCCCTGTGCTGGGCATCTTCTCTCTGCAGGCCCCACTGGCCAACACCAGTCCCCCTTGACCCCTCCGGCTCTCTTTCCAGTTTCTGGGCCACGAATAAGCCCAGTTCATCCTCTACCCACAAAAAGGCCCCCTAAGCCCACCCGTTTTTCTTTATCTCCACTCCATTACTGGGGTGCAAGCTGCCACCCTCTGTCCCTGTCACACCTGACCGTGCCACTCCCTGCCCTTGCTCACACAGCCACGGGACTGGGGAGTCTTTTAAAAGGACAGTCTTTTAAGTGTCCAGTCCTTTAAACTGGACAGTGGCTCACGTCTTCTTCTGCCTGAGAACCCCCTGCATCAGGTTAGACCCAGCCTCCACGTCGCCCTGCAAGCCGCCCACCCTCTCCCATCAGGCCCCGCTCTGCCGCCCCCCCATCCTCGCCACACACGCCCTCTCTGGATTGCTCTGCAGACAGCCACCCGAGAGCGCAGGAGACCACTGCCTGTCTTGTTGGGGTGAAATG